TAGACCTCAACCAAAAGTGAGGTCAACAAAGTTTTAATGTGAAACCTAAGAATTTAGGTTCAAAGTTATCTTAAGGCTTGCCCACCCTATGGGGAATTCCACTTGGGCTTTAACGACAAACCATAATTCTCTCAACCAAGGGTTAAGGATTTGGGGCCCAGCATATGAACCCCTTATGAGTGAAGAGTTAGTTGGAGTTCTCACAAACTGTCTTTTGATTCATGCCGAAGGGATTGAGTGCGGAATCCGAGAGAAGGAGAAAGAGAGGGAATGAGAGAGAGAGAGAGAGAGAGAGAGAGAGACTTACCCAATCCGGGGCAAAGAGCTGTGTCCTCGGGCTTGACAATCCCTATTATTCTACACAAGATGCGGTTACAAGTGAGAGAGAGAGAGAGGGGGAGCAAGCTCCCTACATGACGGTGAGAAAGAAAGAGCCTATGGACTCCTTTTTCCATGCAAGGGGTCCTGCATTTATAGAGAAGAGAGAGAGAGGAAAATGGATATTAAACATATGCCTTTGCTTTAAGGGGAACAGAGAAGGGTCTTTTAGTCCTTGTTCTTGGTTCAGTCCTCCTGAAGGTTCCCGCAGCTGAACTTGTTGGCATTTAGTGGTTGACCCAGATGATCTCCATGATCCGCCCATGTGACTGGTTAGCTGGGGGTGGCTAGCCGTCAACTTTCTCTGTGGCAGGCTTATGGTGGTCGGCCGGCTGGCTAAGGTGGCTAGCCGTCTACCTTCTCTGTGGTCGGTCAGCTTGGTGGCAGACTAAGGTAGCCAGTCGGGTGATACTTCCTATGGCCAACCCAAGTGGTTGTCTGCAATTTGTCGGCCATAGTGCCTGGCAGTTGAGTTGGCCGACCCATGCAGGCTATTGGGATGGTTGGTCAACATCGCCGACTGAGGGAACCATCATGTGGCCGACCTTAGTGGTCGACTGTATTGCTTTCTATGGTCAACCGAGACTAGCCGGTCGGCTGGTTGTGGTCGACCCTTGGTGGCCAGCCGGCTGGTCCTTTTAGACTGTTGAGATTGGCCGCACAGCCTGGAGAGGGTGGCCGACCAAGGTGGTTGACCTATTGAATGCAAGTTTACTGTCATGATTCCTGCAATGATGACTTCAGCAATGGTGCCCCCGGCTACAGTGATATTTATCCTGTCCAAGACTTATATCTTGGCAATACATAAAGTCGTCAAGTTTTCAATTTTTAGAGGCGAAGCTGCGACAAAAATGAAAAACTCATAAATACAGAAACTATGATTTCATAAGCTTCTAGCTTTGCTTTAGTCATTTTGTTACCTTTGGTGAGTAAAAATTAAAAAAAAAAGATTATTAGTCAGTGTCTAGATTCTTGGAGAGTATAATTAATCAAGTTTCTTTTAGATGTTTAGATAGAAAAATTTTCTACTCACTTCTTACTTCTTGCACCATTTTTTTTGCTCTCTTCAGGCATCACCACCAGCAAGCCGCACCTTTTGCCAGTTCTTAGGCGGATTTTATTGTTGCCTTAGATGGAGTAACCACCGAGACTTGCCAATGGGGTTATCTATGCCACACTCTTTGTGGTTCTTGTCGCTTTTAGTTGGAAACCATCTCCATAGCTTTTTACGATTCGAGGTTTGAAAATGTTTTTTGAGGTTTTTGAGGCCATGTGTGAATTGAGGTTTTGATTGCTCATCCTGTAGAGAGGCTTAAATTGAGAAAATTTTTGAAATGCTCATCCCGGAGGAGAGACATGGAGGAATCATTGTTTGCTCATCCTGGAGGAGAGGCTCGGAGAAAGTTAATTTTGGATTGCTCATCGGCAGAGAGATATTTTGGAATGCTGATCTCGGATGAGATACTTAAATGGAGGAGAGAGATTTAGATTCAACATGTTTTATAAAAATTCAGTTAATAACTTTCTTAAGACCAGCATATTTTAGCAACATTATGTTTATGTGAAGGTTTTCACAATGAAATTCATCCATCTTTTTTGCTCTCTTTTTTTGCAGAATTAAATGTTACATTAAGTTCTAAGAGTTAGAATTTGAAGCATCCTGATAAATGACAGGTCATGCATTTATACAGTCATAAGTAAGTGCATTAAGAACAAAACGCAACTTTAAAATTTGCCCTCTAGATATTTTAGTAATGTATAGAGGCACATGGGATTTGTTCGTATTGATAAGAAAACTAATTTGATCCTAAAATTTTTAGAAATTTATTTTTACTTTTATATCAAAATTTAAGTTAGCCATTCTATTCATTCAAAACTCCCAATTTTAACCAGGCTTTAAGACTCCACGTCATTGCCTTCAAAATATTACTTCAACCCTACAAGATGCTTCGCTTCTTGCCAACTTTACTGGTGCACATGTTCATTCAAAACTTCTCTCCCATTGGCCACGTCTAACACGAAAAATGAGAAGGATTGTCAAAATATTTAAAGACCAAAATGCAACGCACATAAGATCATTGAACTTTAGACACGTTTATGTGACGTCTGTAGGTAAGAAGGCAATTTTCTGATGAGGACGTAGTTTCCAATGTCACTTCTTATCATAATGAGTAGTCTTACCTCCCTCCAAAATAATAAAAACATATTAATAAATCAGAACTAAAAATTACCCATCAACGTAAGTCCGGACGATTGTCAGATGAGCCACCGTATGATACGTGGTTGTATGGTCATATCCAAAGTATTATCTGGACTTCAATGTGTTGGTTCACTTAAATACTAAATAGGATATTTTATACAGATTTTAGAATTTATTGCTTTAATTTTCAATTCACCAAACACTAAGAACTGTATTCTCTGTATTTTCCTTTTTTATTAATATCTTTCACTCATTTCTATGATTTCATTGGAGACCCTTTAGTTTATATTCATTTTTTGGGTTCAAAATTTTAGTATTTTATGAGCCGGCTCTTGCTCTAATCAAATTTGTTGAATCAAACTCAACCTTTTATCAATTGAGCAAGTTTAAGGAGAACAACAATTCCAATATCTGTGTCTTGTTAAAAGGAGGAAAACCTGTAAAATACCAAGAACACAAGGAGTCTAACCATATGAGCCATACAGTCTTCTGATACAAACAAAGTCCATATTCATACAAATTGATAAAAAAAAAAACAATCTATTTACTGCTTTATTTCTGTTAACATCATTTTTCCTTTTTTTCTTTTTTGCTTCTTTTATTTTGGCATCTAGTCTTAATGAATTGAACATCCAACTCATATTTGGCAATGATGTTAGTACAACCAATTTGTCATTGGTCATTTACTACCAAAATTAGTCCAATGAAACACGAAAACATATATACTATAAAAGGCGAAAGAATAGTATGTAATTTTATATATTTGAAGAAAATAAGCAAATGACAAACCAAAGATAGACCCACAATAACATTGATTCACATCCACACAAACTATTTATTGATCCATTTAGATACCTTCCAGCAAATACAATAAGCTTATTTTGCTCCTTAAACTATATTTATTTTCTTAAGCATTCTCTCTTTCAGAGGAATTAGGCCTCAAGTTTCTCATATGAGGCCTCTACATCCAGCGAGAATCCACTGGGCATCAAATCATCGAGATCAGGAATTGATGGGACATATACAGGGCCCCAAACTAATAAGGGTGCAGGCGCTGGAGCCAGCTCTGGCTCGTCATAGTCAACTTCATCGAAGACGGGTCGTGCAGCTAAGGAAACTGAGAAGAGGAGGAGGATGGCAACGACAAAGCTTGCAAACTTAGACATGACTAGTTGAAGATGTTCTAAGATAAACTCAAGTGCTACTATTTATTAGCTTTGTGGTGTTGAGTTTGCTTGTTTTTTTGATCTAGGAAGGCGATTGCTTTATATAGTGGGACTGGAAGAACATGAAAGATTGTGTAATTAAATATGGTTTAAGTTACAATAAGTGTCCAAGTGCATGGAGTCGAACAATTACTCAGGCAAAAGAGTTACTTGCATGTGCTTAAATGACATTCAGTTTCTTTTTTGATAATGCAAATACCGTTCGTATTTGGCAATTGTAAATACTCATGGGACTCATTAATTACCTTAAAGAGGATACCATAATAGTTCTGAGAAGGTTTTTAAAATTAAATTCAACTTATATATATGTATATATATATATATATATATATTAAAATTGTAAATTTCATATGAAGCTCACTCTGTTATAAAAATTTATTAAGAAAAAAATTGAATATATTCATAAAAAATTTTACATCTTCAAATTAACTATTAATTTATTTCATATTTGTATTTTTTATTTTGCTTCCTTTTGATATGAATTTTTTGTAAAAGCAAAAAATATATTTGGAGTATTTATACATGACACCTAAAATTTACTTTTTACATTTATACCACCCAAATCTTTCATATCACATAAAAAATATCACCATTTTTTTTTTAACATTGAAATGTGTTTTTTCATGATAGTTAAAGTGACGTATATGTAAAAATTAATATGTAAATGCTAGATATATAAATAAATAAAAATTAAGTGTCATGTATGTAAATGTTCGTAAATAAAAATTTCATTTTTGTGTAATTTTGTCAAGTATGGTTGCTGCACATAAACTTAAGAAGTGAATTTGTGAAGCCAAACGTAGAGGTGTAAATGAGTTTGAGTCCACCCTGAGCTTGATTAACTAATCAACTTTGAACTCAAGCTAAAGCTTAAGTTTACGAATTAGAACCGGCTCATTTGCCAATTTATTTATTATCAAACATAGCAAATATTATTAGTTTAAATTAATATTATAATAAAATGATACATAATCAATATTTACGAGATAAATAATAAAAAAATGTCATATTATCTGAAGGAGCTCATACATGATTCCATTAGGAGAGAGAATAACGAAAAAAAATTTAGGAAGAAGCACAAACGCCTTCATGGGCAAAAATTTTTCTGTGCGGATTCCTGACCTAGCTCTACGTGCGTCGCAGGGTATTCCTAAGCTATTTTTTGGTTATTTCTGGGTTATTTTCAATAATCCCGAAATAACCCAAAAATAACCAAAAAATAAAGACCGCGGGTTATTTTTGGGTTATTTCGGGATTATTGAAAATATATGAGTTAAATTAATTTGGAAAACTTTATGTTACCTAGGAGCTAGAAATAATTTTATACCTCTTTCCTCACATAGAGATACGTCTGGTGTCTAGACAGAAAATGTGCGCCTTCATGGGGGGTGTTTCACATGGCGTTTTACATTAAATGCCTCAAATGGAGTTGTTTTACATAAATTGGCTCCAAGAGAGCGCTTATTGTGTACGGACAACGTGCAGTTTTTAGATGCATAAACACTCCAGGAGAGAGGGGTTCTCTTCGCTTCCTCTCTCCATGTTTTTCAAGTGGTGGCTGTCCTTTTCTTCATGAAATGCCTCCAAGTGAGGTAGTTTCACCCTTCTTGAAATGAACAAAATTTCTATTCGACTCCGGATGTCCCGACAACGGCCCGGATACAGCGGAGGAATAGAGAAATCGGACCTCCGCCCCTTCTCGGTGCATCCGAGCCCTTGTCCGGACATCAAGAGTTACGTAAAATTTTCTCCCTTTAAATGCCTCCAACGAAGGCATTTCCCTCATATTTTCTCTCCAGTATAAACCCCCCATCCTTCCACCCGTTTCTTGCGCCCCTTCCTTCCTTCTCTTCCTAACACATACTATCCTTCTCTTCTCATTTTCATCTGAGGCCAAGCCTTCTTCCAACACATCCTCCTCTTTTCTCCTTATCTTCTATCAGCTCCTTTCTCTCCTTCATTCATACCAGTACTTGTACAATTAAAATTAATTAAAGTATGAGACTTCTCTCGTTCTCTTCTTTCCCCCACATGCTCTCATTAGTCGCTTGATCTTCTGCTAATTAGTCTCAATTTTTTCACTAATTTTTTTCTAATAAAATTTCATTAGTGTGATTTTCTGTTGTCATTTCTAATCATGATCAGTCTACTTCATTGCATTGTCACATAGTGTACATGTAATCGGTATGTAAATTTCCTAAATTATTTGTTCTCCCCCAAAATTTTTTTGTTTTAAAATATTATTTTTAAAAATTTTAAATAATTTTAATTCTGTTAAATAAAAATGTTATTAATATATTTTTTATGTAATAAATTTTATTGAATAATAATAATTTAAAAAATAGTTTTTTTTTTATAATTTAATGATAGTTCTGAACTTTATATAGTCTAGAAACTCAATGGCACATTGATGCTGGTCAGAAAATAATTGAAATAGTACTTCGACTAGTATGACAATTACAAGTATAGATCCTAAACAATTTTTAATATTTTAGCATAAATAGTTATAATTATTTATTTATGGTATATTAAACGAGTCTTAATAAAATTTTGACATTATATTTTTCTCTCATTTACTCTCATATTTTACCTATTAAAAATCAATTTTTTTTCTTCTGGAAGCTTTCATCTTCTTCACCTTCTTTAAGTACTACCAAAATTCTCATAAAAATTTGCTTGAAATTCTACAAAACAATATTTTTTAATCATTGTGATCTTCCTTTACAGGCATGTTGTTAGGAACTTGTCTTGCACTTCTTGATTAGCGAGATAGTAATTTTATTTAAATTTTCTTAATACAAAGTCATTTAATATAATTTGATATATGAATTATTTAGGTATGCCTTATTTATAAATATAATAATACAAATTAAAAAAAATCTTGTATATATGTATTTGAAATATAGTGAATTTGAAGCTATAAAGATTTTGTAAAAAGATCTTTGCAGTCTCCTCCACTCCTGAAAGTGCTTGTACCTATGAATTAACATTTTTGGTTGCATGTATATCAGTGCTTATATATATATCGCTGCTCTGAAACCCGATGGATCGCGGCGGTGATCTTGGTGGATTCGGCCGTGGGTTTGGCCGTGGTGATCGAGGCGGTCGTGGAGGTCGTGGTGATCACGGCGGTGGCCGTCGTGGTGGCCGTCGCCGTGAGGATGAGCAGAAGTGGGTTCCGGTTACCAAGTTAGGCTGTCTTGTGAAGGAAGGAAAGATTGTATGTCTTGAGCATATCTACCTCCACTCGCTTCTAGTCAAAGAACACCAAATCGTAGAGACGATACTCGGTCCCCACCTCAAGGACAAGGTCATGAAGATTATGCCAATCCAAAAGCAAACCCGAGTCGGGCAACGTACTCACTTCAAGGCCTTTGTGGTTGTCCAAGATGGAAACGGCCATGTTGATCTAGGTGTCAAGTGCTCCAAAAAAGTAGCCATGGCGATCGGCGGTGCCATTATTCTTGCGAAACTTACAGTGGTACCAGTGAGGAGGGGATAATGAGGGAACAAGATCGGAAACCGCATACTGTGCCGTGCAAGGTCACAGAAAAGTATGGATCTGTCACAGTGCATATGATACCTGCTTCTCGAAGTGCTGGTATTGTGGCCGCTATAGTTCTGAAGAAAGTGATGGTTGGATGTCTTCACGTCTTCCCGAGGATCCACGGAGACCCTGGGAAATTTTGTGAAGGCAACATTCGATTGTCTTATGAAGACGTATGGATTCTTGACTCCAGACATGTGGATTGAGACTCGATTTGCCAAATCACCTTTCCAGGAACATACGGACCTACTCTCGAAGCCAACAAAGGCCATCCTTGATGATGTTGACAGGATTGACGCTTAGTTTTCTGATTAAGTATCAATAGCTCCTTGTCCCTCGGTGTTTGATAAAGCTTTTCCCAACTTCTAAAAGACCCTTTGCGCATTTTTTGTTGATATTCTTATTTAAACTGTTTTTGTTCCTTGCTCCAGATTGTTCCGTCATAACTATTTGATTGTGCTATTTCTAAGAAAATATTAGTTTTTTTTTCTTTACATGATTATTATATAGGGCAATTACATATCTCTCTCTCTCTCTCTCTCTCTCTATCTCTCTTTCTCTCTGCGTCGCAAGTCTTGGCTTGTTGGTGGCGGGGTCACTGTAAGTTTCCACAGGTGAAGGATTCGATCTCACAATGGCGTAGGGGCTTTGAAATTTTATGCATATAGCACGGGCTCTCATTATAGAGCCAAAAAACACACGATAAATCGATATTTGAGCCTCTGCTAAATATTAATTTCCTTATATATATATATATATAAATATATGATTTCTATAAAGTGCTTTTGAAGCTATAAAGAAGTTTATCAAAAATGTCAAAATTGGCTAAAGAGGTATTGGGATTTAAGAGGTCTTTGTACACTCTCATCATGTGAAAATTCTTATAGTTACGAATTAACTTTATTTTAGAGCATACATTTGGACATTTAATGATTTTTAATTCATACATTTTTATGCCACGCATTAATATAATTGCAGGTAGTGTACTCTAACAAATTCAATATATGAATTATTCAAGTAAAACTTTTTTTTTTTAAATATGATAATACAAATTAGAAAAATCATGTATCTATGTGTACAGATAATAATCATTTAAGGTTATAAAAAACCTCCATAAAGAAGGCCTAAGCAACCTAAAGAGAGCTCAGGATGTAAGAGGTCTCTATGTTTGTTCTCACCTAGAAGTTCTTGCAGCTACGAATTCATTTTATTATATTGCATGTATTAGGTTGATCGTGCTTGTACTTCAGATTTCGATACTAAATTTTGTTCATAAGTACAAATAAATCAAACGCAAGACAAGACTTCATCTTACAATATGAGTACTAACATGCCACATTTATTATTATGTTTTGATGGAGAGTTACCAAACATGGATGATTTTACTAATACGTCACAATTGTTGAGGAAAGAGAAACATAGTTTATTTACTTTATAAACTCTATGTAAATTAGACTAAACTAGAGTTAAGTTAACTTTATAATTCAACTTAAAGAGAAATGAATTAACTATATATTTTTTAGAAGAGTTATAAACTAGTTAAATTAGGTATATTTAGATATATATACTTAATAAGAGTTGAGACTCCAATAGTAAACTTT